AGTGAACTCCGTGGAGTGACACATGAGGCTCCCTCCCTGTGACTGTCAGATGGAGGGGAGTAAATACAAGCCGCAAGCTTTTTGGACAAACTCCCCCTCTCTCCGGCAGAAACAGGAGATGCCATAACTGTATGTATGTATGTAGCAACGGTTTCAAATCAGCATCTCTTTGACAAAAAATGTAAATTAATAGCTCAAATAAAACTCCAAACATCTTTAATTGTGTTGTAATAGCTCTTTTAGTTTCAAACCTGATTTTTATAAGCTTCTTAGTTTTTGCAACAGTCTGTAAATATACACAACTTTATAATAAAATGCACACATTTACCTTTTTCTAGACTAAACACAGGTACGATCCTAAGTTAAAACATAAGGTTATCATGAGGTTGTTAACATTGCAGTTTATCAGTGGATGTTTGCCGGAACTAATTGTTAACAGCTTGTTTCCTGACGGACACACACAGCGTTGAGACGGGTCAGGTAGAGACCGGTCTCAAGTCAGCACCAAAGCAGACTCGCTGTTTGAGGGCTTGATAGCCCACTCCCCCTCCACACCGCTCCACACTCGTTGCTTTGGAACAGCCCTTAATATGGCGGACCCTCCGCGTGAACGCGCAAACGGAGGGGTAGGGTGTAGGGGTAGGGTGTAGGGGTAGGGTGTAGAGGTAGGATGTAGGGGGCGGTTTGGGAATGGGCCCTCCTTTCCTATCATGTAGAGAATTGGAACGGCACTTATCATGGCTGCCACTGAGGGACTTCCGGGTCATTTCACTCCGTTAGGAAGGTTCCTAGCTAAATGGACTATTCGACTACAGCCCCTGTCAATATCAGCTAGCTTTAGGAGCTTCTTGGGACGGGGTAGGGGGTAGGGGATTTGACAAAAAATACAAATCTAACATGTCGACATCATATTTAATACTTTGTACTTTGTCAATGAAAGTATGATAATTATGGATGGATGAAAGGATTTTAAATTGACCAGCACCATTTCCATAAGCCCTATACGAAGAATGTTTGGTGTGTTGGATAATCGAAAAATCTTGCCTTTTAAATTCTACTGTTACATTATAACATTTCTTAGCAAATCATTTACTGAAAATGTCTAATGTTTTGTATTTGTTTATAGTAGGCCTACTTCTTCGAATCATAAATTGTATGCACACTTTCTTAAGGCCAAAGTAATAAATTGGAGTAAGACATTTCAAACATGTATTTGCAATAGAATGTTTATTTGTTAATAATGAAGCAATATCGGACAGTTTCCAAAGTCTTTCTAAACACATTTCCTTCCATAGAAAAGGAGATGTTAAGATAGATAGATAGGTAGGTAGATACTAGATAGATAGATAGATAGATGGATCGATAGATAGATAGATAGATAGATAGGTAGGTAGGTAGGTGGGTAGATACAGATAGGTAGGTAGGTAGGTAGGTAGGTAGGTAGGTAGGTAGGTGGATAAATATAACTAGAGTATCTAAATAATACACAATATAACTGAAAATATTGAATAATTGAATACTACCACTATATCACCACAATATCTCACTATCAAACTTACCAAAAACTACATGATAATGTATGTGTTTAGCTGATTTCCATGTCAATACCGCCCACACACTCAGAGACATCCTAAAGGGAGTGAGTGTGCATATTAATAAGCCACTATAAACTCATAAATCATTGTGACTGCGGATACGCCCCCTGCTCTGCTATTGGCTACTGCGCCCTTCACGTGGGTTACGTTCCCTCTCGGTAATTTAAATAGCCCCTTGCGCAATTTGATGAATAGTGTCGCTGTCAGGAGCGTTGGAGACAGATGAAGGGGAGTTGATAGATGGAAAGCAGGACAGAAGGATAGAGGACAGGAAGAGAAGCTGCGTCATGTCTACTCACAGTTACACTCACTGAGAGTTAGCTCAACTATCCCCGCCTCTGTTCCCGGGCTTTGTGTCGTGTCGCTTCGCCTTTTTCTGCAAAGTTATGGAGCGCAGAACACATCAGGTCTGAGTGTTCCAGCTGTCCGCGTGCCGACGTTCTTCTGAACAGTCCTTCAGTTTCCTAGAGTAGCTCCGGAGGAACGTTTTGTCTCAGGTAAGATATCTCCTGTTTCCCTCCTCTCTGATTCTTTTCACTCTGAGCAGTGGTCGGCGAAGTATTCATTATCTACCTAAGTAAAAGTACAAATACTATGGTCTTTACATACTTCATATAAAGTAAAAGTCCAGATCTTAAAAAAGTCCAGATCTTAAGAATGCATTATGGTTGTTTTTACAATACTATATTATTCTAGAATATTATATTACCCATTTTTGATAACAACAAATGCACGAAGGAGGACGTTGTATTTGTTCAATTGTGGGTCAATTTACGTATGGTTAACTTTTAAAAATACTAGGTATGTTAGCAACAATATAGTACTGCATCTTATCATATATCATGTGTTTTTATAAGTAAAAAAGTAACTATGAGTGTTAAATACCTAAAGTGGAGTAAAAAGTACAATATTTGCCTCCAAAATGTGGTGGAGAATATGTAGAATAACATACAAGTAAAGTAAAGTTTGTTAAAAGTGTACTTAAGTACAGTACTTGAGTTAATGTACTATGTTATATTGCACCACTGACAGCAAGATAGCATCTCCTGTGCAAACCGTTAAATAAAGTAAGTACTAGTAAATAGAGTCAAGTACTTTTTTTAAATCCTTTTAGTAATCAATTACTCATTACTGGCACTCTTCCAAAAGTCCCATTTGGTTCCCTTCCCCCTTACATCACAATACACCTTGGACATATTGAAGAAAACACGGGGCTTATTCTCATCAGGAATAATATTACTTGTTATTTTGACATTAGAGAGATATAATTTATACGATTATAATGTATTTATTTATTTTTGTTATTTATGGAGAACTGTGCCTATTCCAGCTCTCAGTTCCTGCTATTGCAAAGTAAATATCTAATAATGGAAACAAAAATAAATATGGTTAAACGGATAGACTTTTATTTCACAAGTCACAAGAAATCAGCATTTGTGTATTTATGTCTCAGTTTCCTAAACTGTCTTGTGTGTGTGTAGCCTTGGAGGGCCCCCATCATCATGGTGAACAGCCAAGCGTCAGGCGTGCCGTCGGCCCCCAGGTCGTGTGCAGGGTGCGGGGGAAAGATCGCCGACCGCTTCCTGCTCTTCTCCATGGAGCGCTATTGGCACACTCGCTGCCTCAAGTGCTCCTGCTGCCAGGCCCAGCTGGGAGACATCGGCACCTCCTGCTACAGCAAAGGGGGCATGATTCTGTGTCGGAGTGACTACATCAGGTGAGAGGAGGAAGAGGTGGCAGAGGAGGGGGCCAATTCTTTTAAATGTTTAAAGCTGTGCAGACTGAGTAATCTGTGTGTGTGTGTTTCAGACTGTTTGGGCACAGCGGGGCGTGCAGCGCCTGCGGACAGTCGATCCCCGCCAACGAGATGGTGATGAGGGCACAGGGAAACGCTTACCACCTGAAGGTAAGTCTGCAGCTGGTCCTACATCACCAGGCACCATCTCCCGCTGCTGGTTTGACAGACACATCTGGGATTTGTAAGGAGTGACAGTGAGACAGGGAGGAGGAGGGGTGAGCACCTGCTCCTACCTCATGTAGTCACTTTTAAACTTTGATGAGAGATCATCTCTAATGGTGCAGATTAGACTCTTTGAATCTTTCATATTTAGATTCATATCAACCCATCAAGTTTACAGAGTTTTGATGACCATATTTAATTGTTCAATGTGCTTTAGTGGTTTCGATCCGTCTCTGACCCTCTGTGTGCTCCTGTAGTGTTTCAGCTGTGCCACCTGTCGGACCAGACTAATGCCTGGCAATCACTTCCATTACATCAACGGTACAATCTTCTGTGAACACGACAGACCTGGCATCTTGTTGCTCAACAGCCACCTGCTCCCCCTCCAGAGCAGCTCTGTGCTGACAGACCAGAAGGTGAGCCACTGCAGAGCCATCTGTACCCCACAGCACCCCCCCCACATGTCTGACTTCTCCTGGGGTAAAAGGCTACCACAGCAAAATGATGCAGTACATACAGAAATAAAAATACTACATCAGAGATATTACTCTGAAACAATTTATTGTAATTTTACAATTATTTCCACCTTAACGAGCTGCTATACCGTTATGATACCTATATGTTAATGCATTAGTTCTTAGTCCAACTTAATAACATAACACTTAAGAGCACTGTGTTCTGCTGCATTGTGAGCACACTCACATTACACCTTACAATTGCAACAATATGACTCGCATTGTATGTCATATTGTTTTTGGATGAATAAGTTAATCAAATAGGTATTTAACACTATTTGATTTAATTTGCTTAAATCGTTACCTCTATACACTAACAGGAGCAAGAAAACAAAAAATCCTTTGATAGGCGTATAATGCACATCTTATTCATCTTATTCTTAATAACATAGGGAAACTCCCATGTATTTTTACTTGACGAAGACCAATCTGCAGATTTTGTTTTACTTGAACCACTTGTTGTATCCTGACTCTTTTCCCTCTCCCCTGCCTTCTCTTCAGGTATGCTGAGGTGCCTGCTTCTTGATGTTGTTGTGATTTCTCCTCACTGCCCCGCCCCTCTTCCCCAGGAGGGAGGACACCGTTGCTTACAAGATCCCGGTCCGTCACCGCATCGGAAACTATACGCCACATCACATTTATGTCGTGTTCAATGTTGTCTGTGCATCATGCAAAGACTTTGTGTGTGATTTGCACTGGCAAAATGCTTCTTTGGGACTGAAAGAAAGCCAAAGGAAAACGATAAGGATGAAAGCCTGCGCCAACTGGAAAAGAGGGAATAAAAGACGCTTGAATGAACATTCGATGGACTGCTGTAAAATGACTGTCAAAGCTTTGCTTATGCCATGTGGCAAATATTTTCCCTGAGCGTCAGTGTTTTTAATGAACTTGATCTCTCTCTTGTATAAATTAATCTGAGATCTCACACTCCGCGGATTGAATATAATATGTATGGGTGTTAGGTAAAAATGTTCAGTCGTAAAAAACCTTGTAATAAGATTTTAAACTATTTCAGAGTTAAGATTCAAACTTAAAAAAAAAATCTAAAATCTAATGTTTCTGTATGATGAACAAACTGAATGAACCAGTGATGTTTTTTTTTTTCTTCCGTAGAGTTTTATTTCTTTATCAGATGTCTGTTCAATGAGTGAAAAACAACTGTGCCGTTTTAAATGAAAATCCTATTAAAGCGGTTTTTCTGTAACATGTCACAAAGCAAGCTGAGGTCATTTTGAAGCCCGAGCGGCATTACAGAGACATTGTATTGCATGGTACGTAACACGCTGGAAGTGACTGTCTCTCTCACTCTATTTAGCCCTGTATGGTGAAAACATGCCTGATTACCCTGAGGAATGGAATTAGGGGGCTTGAGCTCTGACCATTTACAGAAGCAAAACATGAGCCCTGTATCTGCTGCTGGAGCTCCTCAGAGGCTGAACTCGAGGCACATCCCGCGGCTGACTGGCTCGGTGGCTGGCTGCCTCTAATAAGGACTAATCTGAAAGCAGGCTAATTAAAGGGGAGTGGCCCCTCTATATTCAGGGCATTTGAAAGAATCTGATGTATTTATTGTTTACCATGTTCTAATTAAAGCTCCAACACAGGCTGGTTGTTTCCCATCGAGGCTTTGTTCTCCACCATTCTCTGCATGGCTCCTGATTTTCAGGAGATTCATCGAATTCACTCTCACTCCTTGTGGCTTTTTAATGCGATGTAAAAACTTTAGTCTCAGCATACCTTTCGGAGATTGGGAGTTAATCTTATTGTGGTAGCGGCGGTGGGAAGCTGAAGATATGATCTGCTCTTCTTTCACACCTTTCCCCGGAGCATGGCAGGCATCAAACTCACACCTTAATGCGCTTAGCTATTTCAAACGTCCCTCTTGTCATGGTGGGTGCTGATACTGCATCAATTATTTATTCCACGTCTGATCAAGAAGCGTCACGCAAATTCATTAACGTATGCAAATGTTCACAATTACAATTATCTTTCTATCGTGATGGTGAAGAAATAAAACCTCGGCACATTCCCGAATCCCACTGCACCACAAGTTACACTTTGCATTCAAACTAATCAAGCCTCATCTGCCTTTTCTTAATTAGCCGGAACGTTTTCAGATGCCAATTAGCAGGTCTCATGAAAAGCCTCTTTGCCATGAGGCGTTGTCTTTTTATCAGAGCTACTGCAGGTGTTTACCTCACCATGTAGCCTGTGTCATAGGAAAGTGTTTGTTCCTACTAATTAATCATATTAACACATGCAGATGAGTGTAATTGCCCAGGCTTCTCCACCTCACACGGTTTGAAGACACAAGATGATGCCAGGATATTTTTCACATGCTCAGGATGAAGAGGACAAGCCTCCTTCATGCCCAGACACTCCTGTGATATAGATCCAAGATGGTTGCCCGCCTTTAGCCCAGTTCCCTTCTCATCCTGATCCACTGCTTCTTGGAACGACTCCCAGAGTGTTTGGAACGGGACTGCTTTGTGTCAAACTGAAGTTTGAACAGCAGAATGTGGTCAATATCTGGGGTAAAAAGAATCCAAAATAGAATGATTGAGCTTTAAGATTACATATTCAGGTTGATATTTGTTTTTTACTGTGACATGTCTCAATGCATTAATGTTCAAAAAGCTTGTGGGCAGTGGTGTATTCTACTTTTTTGTAGTGGGTATACTGTAATAATTGTATTCATCCATCCTAGAGCGACGCATCGCGGAGCGAAACCTGTCTCGAAGCAACACCTCATGAACACCATCACACTCACTAATGCATTGAGACTGGTTATGTGTTAACAACATGTCAATGTATTAAAACATTTTATGTGACTTTTAACTGCCATAGACATTAACAATAAAAAAATAAAAGAATGAACAATGATGGAAAAAGCCCACTTATCTTATAGGGTTGAACAATTAATCGAAATATTCATCAAAATCTCAATATGGCCTACTGAAATTTTCAAGTAGTATACAATAAATATGGTCATGCTACAGATGTCCTGACCCACACATCATATTCTACACTTAAAAAAACATCTTTGTTTTGCATAGATCTGCACAAATATCACACAATAATCATTTTCAACATATTTTTCAATGCATTAGATAATTATTCAAACTTCTTCAGCCCTATTATCTTCCATAAATCATTGTCAAACTGTGTACTGGATCAGCTTAAATGAACAAGCAAACATCCTTGAAGTGCTACAAGACAAATTAGCTTCAAACAAGAAACAAATTAACAAATATGCTTCACCTCAATAAATGAGGGTTGAAAAAGCACTCAACATGTCCATACTGGGTTCACTGTGTTAGTCCACAAGCCCTGAAAAAAGGATGGAACACTTCTAGACATAGTCTGGTAGTCTACAGAGCTTTCCAGATATGTTTGTACTCAGGCATCTGAGGTGTGCATTGCCTCCTTGCTTGCATGGCAGAGCGATGGCTTCTCAGCCATGTTGTGACGTACTTCCTTGGCTCAAAAAGTGTTACAGGGGGCCCATTGATGCTGATCATCATCAAATGACTTACATTTGACAACAACAGTGTCGATCTCTTGTCTGTGCATATATTGTTCATGAGACTGAAGCCCCTTTCACACTCAGCAGTGCTGCAAGGGATGGTCTTCATGCATTGTATGAGTGGCTTTAAGCTTTCAGGCTCACTGTCTGGGTGCTCAAGGAAATCTCTCATACCATTAACTGCTTGCTCTTCACCAAGATTGAACCGCCTACAGAGTCGTTTCACTTGTGCCTCACCATGCCGTATGCCAGGGGTTGATGGCCAGTTGCCTGTATCCAGAACACTGAAATCATGAAGCATTTCACCATCAAATGAGAGACGCTTCTCCAAGTTGTTGATCAGACTTTGTAGGAATTGTTTTGCGTTGATTGGTGTGAGCTTTGCATTTGACTCCAAGGGAACAGATCCTAAATGTCCCAACGCTTGTGCAGTCAGTGAGACTGCAGTGAACCAGCTCCTCTAATTTCTCTCCTTGGGTATCTTTGAATGATGCCAGCACTCTGATGGTGCGCTTTAGAAGATGGTCTGGTCTCAAGAGTGTGACAGAATGGGCCTGGAGTTGCTGAGACAGGTTTGCAAGTTCAGACAGTGCATCAAACATGGTCACACAGGAATTCCTTGCTTTGCATTCGACGTGCAAGGCCTCTATAAGTTTGTCTCTCTTTGCTGCTTCTTGTTTGGTCGCCTGCAGCAAATTGTCAAAGTGTCTATTGAGTGCTTCATATGATGTCCACACAGCCTTTACAGAACGGAAACTGCTGGCCACCCATCGCGTACTTAAAACTCTGCCAATTTTCAGGACTTGCGAGCCCACTTCTTGTGCTGCTACCAGAAGCTCTCGTGCATTTTTATTGGACTGACTGTAGAGATTGTGGATCTTCTCTGGGAACACTTTGAAGTGGTTGACTGCCTGAACCTCATCCACAGCATCAGATACAGCCAGTTCCAAACGGTGGTTCATGCAGTGCCATGTGAAGAGGTTAGGGTACCTTGCTGTCAGCCTGGTTGCCACACCAGAGTTCTTGCCTAACATGACACTGGCTCCATCAGAAACAAATGAGACCCAGTTCTTTTGAAGCCACTCTTCAGTGAAGCCTGAAGTGTCCAAACAGTTCAGCAGAGCTTCTTCTATATCCTTTGCCCTTTGGCTCTCCAGCTCAACCAGCTCCAGAAACAAAAATTCAGGAGTAGCTCCATCCACTGAGGCTTTCAAGTTGACAATCATTGCAGATTTGTGGCTGATGGATGTAGCCTCGTCAATGAGAACAGACAACTTGCTTGAAGACGTCACAATACTGTGAACTATTTTTTTCTGCATCTCTTTTGCTATGTGTGCAATTTTTGTGTAACTGTACCTTGAGTGCAGACTAGTGCCCATGTTGGCACCATTTTTTTCCTGAAGCTCAATGAGACTATCATGGTCAGTAAAAGGTCGGTTCATCTTTGCAAGATAGTATGCTGTTCTGAATACAGAATCTGTCTCTGCAAACACAGTCTCTGACACAGCTCTCACCAAATTTCCAACTAAATCCTGTCCACCCTTCTCCGTGAGCTCCTGGGCTATTTTGTGTGCTCTGGACGTCTCATGTCGTCTAATCTTGTTTCTCAAAGAGGCCAGGGATGTTCATCTGCTTGAATCTGAGGACTGGATCTTAAAGTGCACCCACTCCTCAGACATAGACACTCGTTGTTCTGTGAGGACACCTGTTGATTTTGTAGCGCTGCAAAGAGCACAACCTCGAAATAAACAAAACCATGGCTAATTAGCATAATACAAGTTTGTACCAATAACATCTGCAGAAAAGAGCCAAGATTTACTCAAAAGTATTTAATAAACTGCTTACAATATTTACATCATGGCTAACACATGCATGAAAAGCAGATAAAAGGAGAAAAATGTTC